GGACCACACTGACAGCTGTGCTGTTATAGAGATATGAAATATTAGCAACCTCCTTTCATTAGGGATTGGTCCTCTTTGTTTTTTACTATGTTACATACAGTGCACTGTGTTTAATATATCCAGCATGTAAATAAACGACCATTCCTATTGGTCGTTGCATTTCAACTTTTAGGAGTCAGTGAATATTTTCCTGAATTACAATTGATTCTCTTAATGATTACTTATAGAGAATAAATAACACACCTTGAGAAACAAAGGACTATAGTGTTTAAAGAAAATTGCAATTTTATTTAACTCCAGTTTCATTCAATGTATATGTATGTTTTTAGGTATGATTCCATTTTTTAAAAGAAAACTTTTTATCAATTCATTGTAGATTTGCATTCTAATCCCACTCATCTTTCTATCCCTTCGCATCTGCCCTTTGCCCCTGCAACCTCCCCCACAAAACAAAATTTAAAAGAGTACCCAAGAACCAGAAAACCAAACAAACAGAAATTCTTTCTGTAGAAGTTGTAGTGTGGCCCAGTGAGTCACACAGTATACTCTTTAGTTCAAACACCTTTACTTATAAGTGTGCATTGTAATGAGTCACTCATGTGGTTCGAGGCCTCTAGCTTCTGCTGCACTATCAATAATGGTCTTTCTGGGGTGCCTCTTGGATATCCTGTTGTTTGTCTGTGGGTGGAGACCCTGCAGTGTTAATTGTTAGATCTGTAGGTCTTGCCTATTCACATGCTCCTGGTGTTCACAGACGAGGTAAATGTTGGGTGGGCTAACTTATAGCCCTGGTTCCGGAACTAGATGGTAGCAGGGTTGCTTAGACCACCAGCTTTCCTTTTTCATTCCCACCCAGGTGAGCCCTCTAGTACTATCCCCAATAGGTCACCCAAAGCAGTAAATAGATAGAAGAGGGGTAAAACCTCCAACTCTCCCATCCTGGAGTGGCTCACCTGTACCCACCATCGGGGCCCACTCTTCCAATTGCTGTAGGGGCTCTCCCATTCACACATCCTCAGGGCTGCCTCAACTGTCTTTCCACCAACAGGGTCAGCTCTAGTGAGCTGCACAGGTGAGGTGTAGGGCCTGAATTCCTGTGTGTTGCAGCCTGGTGGGGCAGAGTAAGCACCCCCACTCTCATGACCCTGGAACCATCTTTCCCATCTAGGGCAAGTGGCAAGGGTAGAGAGGAAGGCATCCTTCCCTTACACATGCCACCACATGGCAGGCAAGGGGTCGGGGGACAAGGTCAGCTCTCATGTTCTCAAGACTGACTCACCTGAATTCTGCCCCCAGGGTTAGCACTACTGCACTGTTTGGATGAGATCCAGCACTTGATCTCCAGAGTGCTGCAGCTGGGGAGAGACAAAACCAGCTCATCCACTCTCATACGCCAGGAACAGTTTTTGCCACCTGCAGTAAGTGGTGAATCTAGAGGGGAGTATCTCTTCTTTACCTATACCACGATGTGACAACAGGCCCAGCTCTCCCACTCTGCCACTTTCAGCGCTGTTCACCACACCCTTACCAACAGGAACAGCTCCACTGTGTTGCCCAAGGAAAGTGTAGGGCCTGCTCTCCCAAGTGCTGCTGCTGCCGAGAGGCAGGGCTAGTTTTCTCTAGTGCTATAGTCATTGAGGTGTGGGGCCAACTCTTTGCAACCCTATCCTTATTGTCTTTAGTAGTAACAGGAGCCATGGACTTCAAGACAGATTGAGGCTGCAGTAAGACAATGGAACTAGACATGGCCCCTGGCAGCTGAAATGCTGGGATAACACCATGGCCCCAGGTGGCAGTGAGGGCCATTCGGAACTGTATGACCTCAGCAGAAGCATAGACCATGGGCATTAACACGGCTCAAAATGGTGGCCAAGAGCCCTGATTTCTTCATGGCCCTTGGTGGCAATACAGACCATGACTATCAACACAGACTCCAACTGCAGTTCAGTTGAACAAAAGGTGCAGTCGTTTTCCTTTGCAGCAGCCTAAACCCAGTTAACATCATAACCATGGTTGGCATTGCAGGTCACTCAAATCAGTGTGCACCCAGCAGCAACAAAGTCCTGGAACACCAACGTGGCCCCAGGTGGTGACCCAGATACCAGGTATCTGCATATCCCTCAATGGAAACAGGAGCCCTATACATCAATGCTAAATTTGGCTACATCAGGGCCAAAACATGATATGGCCTAGGGTGACAACACCTGTCACTTAGTTCTGTATGGACTTAACAGTGGTACAGGACTCGGACACTAACATGGTCAGAGGAAGCATTCCAGATCCCAGGCACGGGTGGTCTTGGTGACAACACAGAAAACAGACTCCGGCTTTGGAAGGACCATGGACCCAGGCACGATCCTTGGCAACAGCCCAAGCCCAGATGTCATCTTGTTCCTAGATAGCATCAAAGATCACCCAGATCAACAAGCCTCCCTGAAAACGTGGCTCCCTGTCTGAGGGTTTTTATTGCTGTGAAGAGACTATGACCATGGCAACTCTTAATAAGCAAAACATTTCATTGGCATGACCTACAGTTTCAGAGGTTCAGTTCATTATCATCATAGCAGAAAGCATGGCAGTGATGGTGCAGCAGCTGTAGTTGAGGGGCCTATACCTTGCAGGCAATAGGAAGAGAAATGACACACTGGACCTTATACTGAGCATAGGAAGCCTCAAATTTGGCCCTTACAGTGGTATACGTCTTCAAAAACTGTCATACCCACATCAACCAAGTCACAACTCCTAATAGTACTACTCCATATGAGATTGTAGAAGCCAGTTACATTCAAACTACCCCATTCTGAAAGCCAACATGTCTCCAGGTGGCAGCCCGGACTTTCAGCATCTGCTCACCCTTCTATGATAAGAGGTATCATAAACATCAACACAGATCCTGGCTTTGTTAAGGCCTCACATTCAGGGATGGTCCTCAGATACAGTTCAGGTCTGGATGACACCATGGTCCCAGGTGGAAGCACAGGCCAGGCAGATCTACATGGTCCTGGTGGCAGTGTGACCCTCAAATACTATCATGGCCTCAGGTGTCGGCCTAGGCTATGGAACTCTGCATGGTCCTCAGTGGTGAGAGGAGTCATCACAGATCCCATTCACAACAGGATTATGGACCCAAACTTAGCCCTTGACTGTATTCCAGGTCTGAATGTCACCATGGTTATGGGTGGCATGGTAGGGCTCCCAGGTGGGCATGGTCCTTCTGGGGGGTATATTCTTCTGACACCAACATGCTCACAGGTTCTGACCCAGACTCTAGGTATCCACAAGGTGCTTGAAGTTAACAGAAGCCACAGACATCAACAGAGATCCCCAATGCTGTGGTAGGGCTATGGCACATGACATGGTCCTTAGCAACAGCCCATGTCAAGACATTACCCATATACCTGAGTTCAAACTGAGTAGCAAACTGGGCAACCATAATGGTCAATTCCTTACTGCACTCACTCCCTAGATCCACCTCTCTCTCCAGAACATGAACTATTCTGACTCATTCTCTTTCTAGTTACTCTCCCTCTACTCAATATAGTAGTGCCCAACAGCCTGGCACCAGATGTGACTGGCTGTTGCTGGTTAATTTTTTTACCCAACCAAACCAAAAAAAAAAAAAAAATGTTGCTGACCTGCAGCTATCCTCAAGTGCCCCTGGGCCTTTAATTCCATTTTCTTTAAGTTTTGAAAGATATGTACTTTTGGGGCACTTAAAATTTAGATAAATTTACATATTCAATAGAAACATTTCTTTTATAGATTCGACTAGGCAAAATTGGCTCCATGAAATGTTTAAATACTGATTTTTTTTAAAACCGATTTCGCTTCCTCTCGTCCTTACTTTACAGTTCAGAACTTATCAGATAATGTTTTTGTTTCTACTTCCTGATGCTGGCTAGAATCACTTCTCAATTGTTACTTGTGTTTTGCTGTTCCCCAGACTCAGTTAGCAAGTATGGGTGTGTTCAACCACCCTGCACTCTCTGCTTTCTCTTTCCTTCCTTTTTGCACTCATGATTCTCCACATAGATCATAGTGCAGTTTTCGCCGGCTTCTCTCTTAATAATTTATGTTCCTTTTTAAAATTCATTTCTTTTACAAAGGGAATCAATTTCTCATTATTAATGTGAATAATTTTGAATAAGGGCATATAATTATTGTTAAAAATAATAAAATTATTTGAAAAAACTAGAAATATGGTCCTTGTTGAATTCAAGAAGGCACTACAGTGTATGCACAAGCATTCTAAACATTCCTATGTATACTACCTACAACTTCCACATATGAATGATATTGCCTCTTTACCTCTGTATTGTGTGAAATTTTCACCTAAATCTCTGCTTTCTTAAGTCATTCCAAGGACTCTTATATTAGGTCTGTCAATCAAGGCCATCTTGTGTACAGTTCTTATTATTTTTAGTCTTCCACATTTTCATAGTACCTCCACTGTGTTATTTTTGTGAAAGTGAGCAATATAATATCTATAAACTTATTACAATAAATGTTGGGTATATTATTTCATGCATTTTTGGAGTATGCTATTCCTTAAAATGTAACAAACTTCTTTCGTTTCCTTATTACTCTCAATAAGATAACTACAAACTGTAAACATACTTATGAAGTGTACTAGCTACTTTTATATTGCTGTGACTTAATGCTTATAAGAGAAAGCATTAACTTAGTTTTACAGTGGCAGAGGTTGGTGTCTATAATTGCGGAGTGAAGGTATGACAGTGTAAACAGCTGGAAGGTCATATATTGATTCACAGGCAGGAGGCAGAGAGCACCCTAGGCATGTCACTGTAGAAGAAGCTGCCGGCTGCTTTCTGGCACCCAGCTCCCGGCTGCTTGGCTAGCTTATGCCCCAAAATAACAACACACAAACTGTATTCATATAAACACTGCTTGGCCCATTTCTATTAATGTGTGTAGCACCATGAGGTGGTGAGTTATCTTGCCTAACCCATATTTAGTAATCTGGGTAGCATCAGTCTTACCGGGAAAGATTCAGCATGTCTGACCTGGTGGCTTGCTTCATCACGTCTGCCCTGGAGAGGAGTGACATGGCCTCTGGCTCACTTCCTCCCAGCATTCTGGTCTGTTTACTCTACCCACTCATGTTCTAATCTATCAGGCCAAGCAGTTTCTTTATTAATTAACCAATGAAATCAACAGATTTGATATATGACGCTCCCACATCATGTCACCAGTCTTTTGAAAGCACAAAGTCTGGCCCACCCCCCCACCCCCCTGTGACAAGCTTCCTCTAGCAAGGCCACACTGCCTAATCCTTCCCAAATTGCCACCAAATGGGAACAGTTGATCAAATGCTTATGATTTTGGGGCCATATCATTCAAACTACCACATTAAGAAATAATTGTGACACTAAAAATCAATATTTAGGGGCTGGAGAGATGGCTCAGTGGTTAAGAGCATTGCCTGCTCTTCCAAAGGTCCTGAGTTCAATTCCCGGCAACCACATGGTGACTCACAACCATCTGTAAAGAGGTCTGGTGCCCTCTTCTGGCTGCAGACATGCACACAGACAGAATATTGTATACATAATAAATAAATAAATATTAAAGAAAGAAAAAAATAAAAATAAAATAAAAATCAATATTTATTTCTATTAATAATAATTGAAGCACTAAAAATCAGTATTTACTTCAAAAAAATCTTGATGGCTCACTTTGGGGCTTTTATTATACTCCATCAAGAATAAGTCTCAGAATTTTTATCTTGCTTTCATTTGTTTATTCATTTATCTTTAAATTAAAAACAGATTCTTCTCCCAAACAAAACATCCTAACTACGGTTTTTCTTCCTGCCATTCCTCCTCCCTTCACCGTCTTTTTAATCCACTTCCCCACAATTTTTCTTCTGGAAAGTGCATGCCTCCAAGAGACTATAACCAAACAGAACAATCTACAGTATGACAAGGCAAAGCCCTCTATTGAGGCTGCACAAGGAACACAACACGAGGAAAAGAGTCTCAAGAACAGGCAAAAGAGTCAAAGACACATCTGGTCCTACTTGCAGGAGCCTCAGAAAAACACCAGCCTAAGAATCATAACATAAACGAGTACTTGGTACAGATGTACGCATGCCCCTGCTTGTCACTTCAGTCTCTGTGAGTCGTGTGAGCCATGCTTAGCTGATTCAATGGGTCATGTTCTCGTGATGTACTTCTCCTATTTCTCCTACAAACATTCCTCCTTGGGTGTTCCCTGATCTCCAAGGGGAGGAACTCAAAAGAGATTTTCAACTTAAACTCTTTTATTACACAGACTCCTAATGTTCAGCAGCCTGGGAGGGATCTTTGTTCCAATTCAAAGGCTGCTAATGGAAGCAGGAGCCCAGACCCAAAGTTAGACATTATGCAGAGGAAACATTAGGAAATGCTGAGGGTTTCTTAGTTTATTAAAATTTGAATATGATTTATTATATATGTAATCTTTGCCCTGGAAAGGATAAGGCAGAAGTATCTTAAGGGCACTGGGAATGGCCAAAACCCATCACAAAACAAAACAATTAAAACCAAAAAATTAAAAAAAATGTGCAAATAATAACAATGACAAAAATCCAGTAAAAATAAAAACCCAATGAACAACACAAACATTTAAAATCATACATGTAAATAACACAAACATACACAAAAGAAACAAAACAATAAAAAAGCTTTCACTATTGCTTTTGAAATTGTTTTTAATCATTTTATATAATTGGGTTTGTCCTGTGTGTCTCAATCATGTGATCCCAGGAATAAACTGCTATGAACCGTATCAGATGGAACAGAGTGAACCACAATAAGTTCTCACCATCGACACCTGAATGTAGTTATGGTAAAACCTGTGTCTTAAGTATTCAAATGATCTTTCCATAGGACATGTGTTTAATTACAGCTTTAAGATGACAAAAACAATAAAATTCTCCAATAAAAGTTATATGCAGATCATAATATAATTTAAGAATTAATTAGATAAATTATACAGGTTTTAAGTTAAGTGTGTATTAGAATATTCATAACTGCAAACCTTTCAATACAATAAAGATTTATATTTTAGATATATTTTAACACCAGCAATGTGTTTTAATTGTTATTTTACCTTTTTCTTTGATATACAGCAAAGGAAAGAAGATATACCAAATTCATTGATGAAAGAGGACAATATCCCACAAAATACAAGTATTAAAACACAATATAACATGTAGTGAATATATAATTTATCAGGGCAGCTGTGGGGAATGACTTTAATTTCAACACTCTGGAGGCAGAGGCAGAGTTTGAGGCCAACCTGGTCTACAAAATAAGGCAGCCGGTGCTACACAGAGAAACCCTATCTCAAAAACAAAACAAAACAAAAATCATAAACCAAAAACCAGAACACAGAAAAGAAAGAAAGAAAATGAAAATAAAATTTAACACAAGTAGAGTTTTTCAGTGCCTTTCAAAATGTAACTGTTTACTGTCCTTATTGCTTCCCATTGCTTGATTCTTGAAGTACTACTGTGCCACTATCTTTATCTTTAATGTCAGACAACACAAATATGGTTAATTATTAATTTCATGGAGAGGAAATTTCTACAAATGAGATGTTTGCTGCATGTCTGTAGTCTTGGGCATATGTAAAATACAAAAGTGTTCATCTAAAGAATATATTTCTCATATTTAATATAATGGCAAAAGAAATTAGCTGTACTCACGTTAAGTGCTCATATTTTCAAAAGCAAAATAATCACTCTCAATTTCATGAACTCTGCTGGAGTCTTTTTAATGTAGTTCATAATATTACTGCCTACTTAAAGCTCATTAAAGTTTGTCTTGTGTTATTCGTCCTAGCCAAGAATGTCAGCACACATACATTATTCACGGAAAGCACAGTGAACTTTAAGTAGGGAGATTATATTAGAGAAAAAGGAGAAAGACTTCATTCTCCATTCCAACCCATGCTGTTATAAAGGGCTACTGTGGACACCCCCCACATACACACTTTAAAGTTTACCTCCCTTTTTATTATTTCTATCATATTCCTTTTTATCTCCAAATATATTCCCATAATTCTACTTCTTTTCTATAGGGTATGAAGACACTGGCTGAGTTACTGTAAATGATTCACCATCTTCATATTCTCAGCTGGATCTTTAAATAACGTATGCTGAAAAAGGCTTTGTTTGCCAGATCATTTCCTCCTTCTCTTTGTCTAGAATAACACTGGGGTGAACTTAGCTCAGTAAATAAAACAGCATTTGCCTGAAGAATTTAAACCAAATGTTCCAAGCTAGTGTTGTAAATTAGGTCATTAAACAATACCAATTGTACTGAAAAGGTCAGCAAACTTTAAAAGTCAATCACAAATTCTGACACTTCTTGATGACTGCACAAGTACTTTCCAGGAGCATGTCTCTGTGACAGCCCATCCCCAGGAAAGGCGCGTATCTGACTACATTCAAATGGAAGATATAAAATCGTTATTATTTAAATATCAATTATGACTTTTGGGGAAATATTGGAACTGATTTTTTTTTTAAAAATGCAGTACTCCAGGTCATTGCTGCTTCAATTTGAGTGATAAATTAAAAAAAAAGACAGTATAAGAAAAAAATCATTACAAGTAATTAGCATAAATACATAGTGAGATTTATCAATGCTTCCTACATTTATTTCCCCTTGACTACCTTTAGTCTTTTTTTTCATAGCTGGGTATAGTAGAGAGATGAGGAAAATGTTTGAAAAGCCAAGCAAGATATATCTTTCTTGAATCTGTATTTGCAGCAAGCAATGTGTTAGTGGATGGAGCAAAGGTTATTGTAGGTCTACTTCTGCACCATCTGTGTGGGCTGAGGAAACTGGTTATATACCCAAACAAGCAGCCTCATTACTGATACAACAAAAATTAGCAACATATATTTCTTCCTGCAAGGGAACACGACTGTGGACAAAAATGCTTAGCCCTGAATCTGACAACTTTCCTAGAAAATTGCCTCAGTACAATAATCTGTTCTAACACCACTGTCTAGATGTTCTTATTTTTGAGTGTGGTAAAGATGGCCAAACACTCCAATTTGAAAAAAGGAAAAATATTTTCTTGACTTACTCAGCGTATCAACACATGGTTATGGCAGTAGTTTTCAATAATCAGGACAGGAGGGCATCATGTGGCTTTAGTGATTAGTTCTTGAACACTTACATACTGCATGCAAATGTGCAAATAAGGAGGAGAAGAGGTAGATTGAAATGCAGAGGAACCTGGCTATGTTCAGTGATTTTGCCATCTTTTAGTAGGTAGACAAGATTGACAGCTATTTTAGGTCACAAAAAAGGGATAATAAAGCTGAATAAAGAGAGTATTAAATGAGGAAAAATATGATAAATATTGAATTCATTTCTCTTTTGCTGTACCGACAAGACACCATGACAAATGACACTGTACATAGGGAGAGTTTATTTTGGTTTATAGTTCCAGTTAGAGTACACATTCCATGGCAATCACAGCATCAGGTTATCAGAGAAAAGGAGAGATCACATCCTCAAGCAACCCAAACCACATAGTGAGATGAAAGTAGACTAAGGCTAAAAACTCTCAAACCCACATCCAACAACTAACTTCCCTATCAAGGCTACATCATTCTCCCAAATAGTGTCACCAACTGGGAACCAAGTTTTCAAACACTTGAGCCTACTGAAGATATTTCTAACCACCACAAATATTAACAGATTGCAATGACATTATGACTTAGAGGATATAAGACTCTGCACATTGTCTGTGAGTTAGAAATTTAAAAGCAAACAATGTACACTTCAAAAAAATCTGTTTCTTTACCTAATATGTTAAAGTTGAACATTTTAAGTAAACTTATGATTCTTGTTATTAAACTCTTTGAAACTTCTTTTGGCACTTTTCTAAATTTGGATTGCATGCTGTTTATTGCCTTTATTAAAGTAGAAAGCCAAATGTTTATTTCCTGTGCTCTCAATTTAATTATGAATGCTTTGCAAAGCAATAGTCAGATGTAAAAAAAAACATTGTTAGCAATGAAGATTATGTTCCACACTGTATAACATGTGTATGAGTTCTACAGTCGTTATAGAGAGAATGCAT